CCAAGGGGAAGATTTTAGAACCACCAGTTAACCAAAGAACGTGTTTTTGTCTGCAATGTATTTTTTTTCTTTTTCTCCCTGCAGCAACAGTAGGAGTTTCCCGTTGATTGAAACCCCCGCTGCATGCATACAACATGCCACTGTTGTCTCGCCTGTGCTCGCTCTCTATCTGCGGTTAATTTCCCCAGACCCCCATATCAGCTGCTGCAGGTAGACCTCGGAGAGGTGTAACGCAGGGCCTCATCTCAATCCTCCCTCCCCCCACGGCCGGCTCGCTTCAACACTCAATCACAGCAGGAGGAAACGCTCATAGGTGTGCGAGGTTGTCGAGTCTTTCGTAGCAGGTGAAGCCGACTCTGACTGTAGAGGTGAGTGTGTGTGTGTCCGTGGGTAAAGTAAATAACTATTCTGGAGAGAGGCCTCTACCTGTCATGGGGCACTGATACTGTCTTGCCTTGTATTTATTGCCTACTTAATGGACTTGATTGTATTACTGAAGGTAAGAAGGGGGGAGAGGAAAAAAAATCCATTGCCAGCTCGAAGGTGCTTTCAGCATCCTGCAATTACCTTATGTAAATCCTGGCCTGGAATGTTGATCCACCGCTATTTAAAATGCATTGAATTTCCATGGAAAATGATCCACTCCTGCTGCCTGAAGCTCATTAATAACAACGACGAGCCGCGCTGACATTTGGAATACTTACACGCTTACTTAGCATCGCCACGCGTGTGAGAACACAGCCGCGCGCTTCAGCTATGACAGCACGTTGGGAAAAAAAAAAAGGATAGCTTTGAATTAGAGTGCACGGGCAAATAAGTTATTTCTGCAACAGTAGACATTTCTTCTTCTTCGTGCACATGACGTGCTTGTAAGTGCTCACTCGTCTTTGATCGTGCAGACAGAGCTGAGCAGCAGGTGTACATGCTCCATGTGTTTGCCCTGGATTCTAACATTTACAGTGACATGCTTGTTCCATATTGTTACAGTCAGATCTAATGACAAAAATAGGTATTCCCATTTAAGTGTAGTGGCGTGAAAAGTTGCGGATAGTTTAGTTTTTGGCCTGTAAGACGCTGGAGACTGAGTGGGCTGCAGCGCCCCTACTGGTAAAAGGCTGTAACTAAAAAAAAGTTACAAACAAATCAATTAAATGTGTTTAGAGTAGCATATATAGCAGTCACCGTAATATTTCTTTAATTCAACATTATCTTTAATATTTGATTTTATTTCTGTGCAGCCTTTCTCATGCACACATGTGGAACATGATGCATGAAGAACCGAGATACTGTTTGTCTCAAAACCTGATGCATTTAATTGCAGTAAACCCACGTGTGCTGCCTGTTGCAGTGTAAAATGTCTTACAGCTGGTATAAACTCATGAATTTAACATGATGCTAATATAGAGACATTCTCTGCACCCGACTCACGGACTTCCATCGTCCCGTGTATTTGTCCACACAATATGCATTAGAGACGCCTGTTCCCTGAAATGCAGACTCCGTCCTTACGTTGTATTTGTAGCTCTGTGTTAAACCTGTTGTCTAAAGGCCTTTAGCGCTCTGACATCACTCTGGTATGTGACTGATGTTCGGCAGGACCCAGGGGAACATTATCATTTCGATAATCAGATTATTTCATTTTGGAACATCAGACTGAGATTCACAGGCGTCATGGGATATGATGTCATGAATCACTTTGTTTGAAAATGTGTCTTTAAATTAAAAGCACAACTTTCGTTTTGCTTTGATCGAGCTGAGTTACAGAGATTTTATTTTGAAAAGTTGTTAACTTGGGTCTGAAGAGCTTGTCTTTACTTCTGAAATAGCCGACATGCAATGCATGAAAAAATCACAGTGTTTCAGTGAATCATTCAAACTTACATATGAACCGCACACGTGAACATTTAAAAATGCAAATTCTGTTTCATTTAATGGAAAATATTAGAATCTTCACCGCAGATAAACTAGGTAGGATGAACACAAAGTTTTTTAACTTCACTCTGTATAACAGACAGTTTGTAAAAAGATGTACACAAACAAAAAGCAGTGACAGTATATTGTAGAACTGTTTGAGGATGAAAAGGAATAATTCTGAAGTAGCTGCGGAGCATCGACGCAGGACAAAAGACCAGAACATTTAAAACGGGCACGGCACTTTTGCAAACTAAATAATCACAAAAAATTGTTCTCTGTTTAAAATGGCTCTAACAACCATGATGAAACATAAATGTCCACGTGTGCGGTTTCTCTCGGCGTCCTGATGCTTTTTCAGCATCTTTACGCTCAGTGTTTTTTAATTTTACAGCCCACAAATTTTAATATTTCCCTCAGACTCACCACCATCATCCTCGTTCCCAGCAGCACGAAGCAGCTGCTTTCAGTGAGAAGACACTGTGCGCTACCTGACCAGCAAAGTTACAGCAACTCGCCAGTGAACGTATAGTGAAGCATTTAATAGCTAAAGAAGATGCTCATGTTGCTGTGGAACTGCTGGATGTGCAAAGTGTCAATTATGTGCTATAACTTTTACCATCACGGTTTTATAATCTCAAACTAATAGCAGCGTCCTTGGGTTCAGCAGCCATTTGCTCGCTGAGCTATGAGTAAAAAGCAGCGGGTAAAGTACAGAGGTCTTTACCACAGAGTGGCAAAAACCTCCCAACCATTTTGTTCCTCAACCAGCCACTTTGCCGACAGCCCACCTGCAAATGAAGCGAGGTTGGGGTGGAGGGGAGAAGCACTGAAGATCCATTAATCTTTCATGCTCCATAATGGCTTGTTCACATTACCTGCCCACACCTCAGCCTCCACGGAGCAGCCAGGGCCAGCGCCGAGCAGATCAGGCCCTGAAAAACCACAGCGAGCATATGGAGCACTTCAAACACTCAGAGCCTCCCCGGCCCTGAGCTGTGGTCGCACCTATGAATTATAGAAATGATCTAATTGTTTTCTCATTTGGAAATTCTGGGGGCCCACCCCTCCGCGTCTCACTTTTAACGGCCTGCGGTTTCCAGCGGGGCACATGATTCACTGCTGCCCACCTCCAGCACATTTGTTGAATCCACGGTGGTCCGTCCAATGAAAACAGAGGCATGGCAGAGGTGTAAGTCAAACCTGTTGCAATGAAATAATACGCAGGCGAGAGAGGAAGGGGGTACACCGGACTTCAAAGGGCAGTGGCTGTGATCAGAGGAAGGTCACGTGTGGCGATAAACACACTCCACTGAGAAGCTACGTTTTTTTAGACGGCTAAAGATCGAAATGAAACTGAGGAATCCTGCACACTTTGTAAATCACAGTACCCACTTTATTAAAGAGTTACTGCCCATGCATGTATTTTTAAGCTGTAAACTAAATTAAATGACTGTTTCTTGATGGAATGCATTAATGCTGGTTTTAAAAATCACATTTATTACGAAATTTATAGTTTAAAAAGGGACAATGCTCATTCAGGACGTCTCTACGTCCTTACATGACATCACATCTGCAGTCTTCAGTCAGGCAACAAAAAACAAGTCTTAAAAAGTGGAAATTCTACTCACCACTATGCTGTTGGAGGGGGGGAGCTGACGTGTTTGAGTCCCCAGATATATGTCCTCTGTTATCTTTCTCCGGAGCCACATTCGAGGACATTCAGGCTAAAAACATGGTGGAAATTACGCAGTTTCGAGTAAAACATGACTTTGGACCGTGGGAGGAAGATGGAGTATCCACAGAAAACCACGCAGACACAAGTAGAACATGCAAACACAAAAAGTCCCTGGTCGCCAGGCAGGTTCAAACCCACAACCCTCGTGCTGTGAGGCGATGGTTCTTACAAACTGAAGTACTGACAATGTGTTTTGTGCATTTTCCAGAGGGACATTGTTGCAAGGAAGACGAGCTGAGAGCAGATTAAACTGCAGATTCTAAAATCATCTATCAGTAGTTTTTCTGAGGAGGTGCAGGGGGGTGTGGCCATGATACACTTATGTCACATTATTCCTTTGTTCCATTTGTTTTAATTCACACAATTTGAAGTCTTTCATAAAAAACTGGACTGACTATGAAAAGTAAAATACTCATCAGATACAATCATTCATGACTTCTGAGGTTCAACCTAAAAATCAAAAGTAAAAAAGACAAAATGAGGCAGAATTCTGAGAAACCAGAAAATCGAAATGATGACAAAAAAGCAACACAACTTTTCAAAATGTTTAAGATCATATTAATTTCAAAAGACTTTAAATATACACTTATATTTCATCAACTCATTCTTTTAAACGTTATCAATCTTAGAATTGTGTGAACTGACTGTTTTATACATATGATACAATATAGTTATAGTTATTTTAATCATTTGTCTTTCATACATATATATCCAGATCCAGAGGAAACCTAAAGTAGAGGACATATAAGACACGACAAAACACACACACACACACACACACTCTGCAGGAACATAAAGAGGAAGCTGAATGTAATCTTCCTCTCAGTGTGGCCCAGTGAGCAGCCTTGCTCAGCAGTCGCTCCACCTCGTGCTTCTTAATCAAAACTGGCACTGTGGCAATTACCTAATTAGACATCAATTAATCCACACCCTTCAGGTCCGCAGCCGCGTCTGACCTGCGGAGCGACGACAGAAACGCCTTCGAAGAACAGAGGAGTCCCATTAATGGAGGCCGAGCAGCAGAGGTGGTGCCGCATTCGAGAAAAAAATCTCCAGAAATATACTGCAATTCATTTCATAATTAACAGGTAGAGATATAATTGATTGAGATGTGAAAGCTTAATCACTCAATTCAATAAGCAGGATATCAGTGTTGAGTAGATTAATTCAATTATGTAATTAAAGCCGAGGGAGAGGTGAAGCTTTAGAGTAGATTGAAGGTTAAATCGCAGACTCGCTGTTCCTTCTGTCGTCTCGGCCCAACATTCAMRTACACACACACACACACACACACACACACACACACACACACACACACACACACACAGAACATACTGACGAGTCCCACATTTAGTTTGTCTTTTTTATTAGACATAGCAATTTCACAAACAGCAGTTAGCCTGATAATTACATTCAAAATGTGCAGCTGACCATGCGCAAACACTCCAGATACGCCTCCAAACAAAAGTAACAGTCGATCATCGTGTGTTTGTTTTCTCATGTTTTCATTCCAAAATCTAAAGAAAATCATCGTTCACTGGTTCACCATCAAGGCATACACACTTCAGTCACTAGAACACATTTTAACAACTATTTTCTGTCACTGTACATAAGCTCTGAAAGCTTCTTAAAGGCTCTTCTCATTCTAACACACTCGCGTACGTCGACCTTTAGAACATGTTCTCGTCCCCGGTTCCCTTCTCTGAATACTCTTTAATATTAGCAACGGGGAGGAGAGGGGTCGTACGAGTCGGACACACCTCACGTGAAATGGTAAACGCAGCAGAAATCTGCGTTATCGTTTCCCAGTAATGACTTCGGTTGTTTCCCATCAGCACAGGACACCAACACTGAGGTTTCATTAAAAGAGCACGCACGACGACCCCCGGGCAGTTAAACGGAAACTTGACCAAAAGCACGTTAAGACTACACGACACACAGTTTGTACAAAGTGGCAAAGACGAGGATGCTTCTGCTCAGGTTTTATTCCATTTAGGTTAATTCACTCACACACACACACACACACACATACACACACAAACGGAGGCTCTGTTCTCCGTCATTCAAGTCATGGGACGCTTGTGTCACAGGGTCAATGGTTAACACTGGTTGAAAAGGGGAAGTGGAGGTGAGAGGAGGAGGGGTCAATGGTGTTAAGGTTGTGGGGGATACGATCTGTAACTCCAGTTCATCCAAGTGCCAAAACACAGTCCGTTTACATAACACTGATTTATTTTTTCCCACCTGCTCCAAAACCATGGAGGGGTTTTTACACATCACAGATAAAAAGCTCCACGACACACGAGACGCATCCAGCTCAGATCCATCTCCACAGGCGTGAGGGGGGGGGGGTCAGCGCGTTACCGCAGTGACCCGCTAAAGTCCGGTTGAAGGAGCGCCACTGGCTCCAGTTTGAAGTTCTGAATTACTGGCCTCAGGGATCCAGTGTACGCCAAAAAACACCTGAATACTCAAATCCACCAAATCACACGGACGTGTCACACATCACCACGGCATCGCTACAAAACACTGTCCGTCGTCCAAACCGCCCGCTCGCAGCGGCTGCAGGAATCGGGTGATATTTGTTCACCTTTATTTTTTTTCTTTAAATTCATCTCTAGAACTCCAGTAAGTGCAACACCTCTGTAAACTGTCCCGTCAGTGAGTGTAAATTGATTATTTTCTCCCGACTTGCTTGGTCCACATCGTTGTTCAGTTCAGCCACAGAAAAGAGGGAATAAAGGAAAAGAAGTCACTGTTTGAAAAAAAAAAAAAAAAAGCCCAGCATCCTCTCCTGAGCGGGACGCCTCTACCTCCCGAAGATGCTCTCGTACTCGAGCAGTATGAGCTCCACTATCTGGTTCTGGTAGACCATGTGGACCGCGATGTTGCCCGTCTCGGTCTCGGGCCGGAGCAGCGTGGGTCCGAACACGATGGCCACGCTCGGGGTGGTCATGCGGTTGGCCTCTCCGTGGTCAATCACCCTGAGGAGGGGGGGGGGGGGGGGGGGGGGGGGGGGGGGGGTAGGAACACAAGAGGAGATTTAACGATGGAACACGTCATGATTGGTTTAAGGCGAGAGCAGCGAGCAGCTGCGGGGTTTCATTTTGAAATATTAAAAAAAGAAAAGCAACATTTGGGTGTTTACACACATCTGTAGGGCTTTCGATGGAGCGCTGAGGCGAGCCACACGACACAAGCTGTAACTGCACCCAACGCTCCAGGCAAGAGCATAATAGCCTTTTTAAATAGAATCTACATCCCTGCATGCAGACGCACAAAACAATAACATATTCATAGAGGGGAGGGGGAAAAAAGCAGATTAAATCCGCCCGCTGATATATGTACACTTCCATACACTGAACATCATGCTATAAATTTCCTCAAGAAACACCACTTCATAGGTGCTGAATTACAGCAAACACGGTGCCATATAAATGCAAATTGGAAAACCCAGGCAAATGTCATTGTGAACATATGATATTGCCGCTGGCTGGAGTGGGCTAAGAATGCACGTTAAACCTGGCTGAGGTCTGTGTTTGTGAGGTCTGTGTTTGCCCGCAGGCTGATCAGGGTGAGGAAAGGTAAACACGCAGAGGAGAAACTCAGCACGGGAGTCAAACAGGAGTCTGAAGGAATACAGTCGTCCGCAGTGCCATTTGAGATCCGTGCACATGAAACTCATTTAAGTCAGTGTAAGGAGAGAGTTGATGCCAGCAGGCAGGCATGTTGTTGAGGAGGAGCAGACACAGGTAGAGCAAGAGGAGCAGTTAAAGAAAGTGTCGGAGAATCAAAACGTGAGCTGATCACACGCTCGTATCGTGAGCTTGTGGTTACAGCACATCTACACCAGTGTTGTTTCTTGTTTCAGCATCACGTCGTCTTTCCGAGTCTTCTCCAGCTTCTTTTACGGGTATGACACCTCGTTTTCATGCCCAGATATTTGTATTATTTTTGGTTTGTCCGTCATGTGTTAGATACGTCATCAGCAGACTCTGGATAATCTCCTGCGGGATTGTCACATGGGCTCATTCCAACATTCCTGCCAGCAGCCAAGTAAAAACTGAGGCGATTGTCCGTTCAGCCCCTTTGAATAATGTGTTTGTGTTTTGCCTGAAATATTTTATTCTTTATTATATTGATATTACTTTATTTTACATTTTCTTTGGTGATGATTTTACTGATTAATAGTTTGGTCATCTGTTCTTCTTTAGTGATTAGATGGATGTGTTGACTGATCAGCCAATATTATTAATTCATATTATTAAATCATATCATTGTACACTTTAAAGTCACATATTTGACATTGGTCTCAGATGTTTGTACCCCACTCTATATACATTAAACCTTTTGAATGTTATATCTGTATAAATACATATTCTAATAATTTTAATAAATAGAAGATTATAGAGAAGAAGAATAATTTATTATTAATTTATGTAAATAATATCTACATGATTCTATAAACTGAAGAAATGAGTGTTGGTGTTCTTACCTGCGCAGGTGCTTGAAGAGGTTTTGCATTGTGTCGTGGTTTGGTTTTGGCAAGTTCTTGATCAAGTCTTTTATTGAATTCACTCTCTGTTTGTAGTCGGAACATTCTGAGGCAGAAACACAGCAGGTCAGTGAGAGCGCGTGGACAGAGCGCCATCTAGTGGCCAAATTGAGAACTAAAATCATGCATCTGCGAGCTGAAAAGTTATTTTAATGTGTATCTTTATAAGCGAATGTCTTGTCACAGTGAAAATGAACAGCAGTGAATGTCGTTACTCACTGATGGCATCCACAAAGTCATCGAAGGATCCGTATGTGAAGAGCGGCTCGGGAAGCTCCCTGAAGAACATCTTGAGAGCTCCGGTGGTGACGTGGATGTCTTCCCACTTACTGTCGTCCAGATCCACCTTCTCATCTGATGGACGGAGGGAGAGAAGGAGAGACGACATGGTTTCAGTAAAACAAACCTCCTGACAGGTGACACGTGGAGGTGGGGCTGGGATTGAAAGTGGAATCGTACCGTGATTCACAGCAAAGCGAAGCTTCTGTATCACTGCCAGGTTCCCACTGACTCTGTATAAGCCGTCAACATTGAGACCTGCAGGACGAGAACGATTGGAAAGATGGAACAGTGAGTTTGAATGAGAGGAAATGAGGAAACAAACAGTTCCAACAATGACTGACTGATCAAACTCTTTACATTCTGCTGTTACACATGAACACACTAACAGTTCTGCACCAGTGCTCTCTACTCAAAGTTTTATGGAACATGTGGAAAGACAAAATACATTAACCTGCGACACTATATAAATATTTAAGGCCATATTTAAGATATGTATGTCTAATAGAAATAGCAAAGAACTCTGTAAAAACCCAGGATTTCATTCATTGTGCAGAATCAGCTAACTGAACGTTAAGATCATCATACATGTTTCAGGGGTTGGACTTGATTTATACCTTTGATATAAACTGGTTCACATTTAGCTGAAAATGGTGCGAGGTATAATGAGCTGAAAGGTTTTATATATATATATATATATATATATATATATATATGTATTATTGCCATTATTGTTTGCATTTGTATTTATTTTTCTTTTACACTTATATTTATTTGATAGTTTCTATCAGCATGAATGCATCTTTGCGATTGTGCCTGAATATCCTTGTTTTTAAAGTTGTGATATAAATTAAGTTATTCTCATTATTGTTATCATCATGCTCTAAAACAAACATCTACACAGTAAAGTTACGACAGAAGCTTAATTACTGAATTTAGTCTGAATCACTGCTGTAATGTGATTGGTTAGATTATTGTACTAAGTTAAACTTTGTAAAATATAAATAAATATATATATATATATATATATATATATATAATATAAATTCAGCTCTATTGGACAAACGAATGTTCAGCTGTATGTTCAATTTGAAACCCGGTGCCCATGACTTTTCCCTAATCATTACAAGCACAGTTTTGAATGACAATCAGATAGAAAATGAAATGGATATGGATGTAGTCAGACAGCTGCTGCTCATACCTGTGTTCTCCACATGGTCGATGCACATTTTAACAAAGTTGGGCACTGATGTGTTCTCCCGCTGGCACAGGCTGGTCAGACTGCAGCCAAACACCTGATCTGTGAATTGGCAAAAACACCTTGTTGGTCTAAAATGACATTTTTCAAACAGTGCACATGTGTCAAGAATTGAGCTGCAGAGTTTGTGCTGAATCCTGAATACCTTTAATGTATCCTTTGTCTCTGACGGCCTGATATGTGGGTCGACGCGTGAGGAACTTCTTGAGCTTCAACCTGGTTTTCTTCTGGTCTGATGAGTCCATGCTCAAAGACGTCTTCATCACTGAGGGAACACACAGAGGATATGAGGGGAATTCTTTCAGACCCTGACAGCAAACAGAGTTATGATGGAGAGACATTCAGGCCACATCCACATAACTACGACTTCATTCTAAAACTAAATGATTTAGCGGCTACATTAAACAATTGTGAAAAGTAAAATCAGGGATTTCTTTTATTGAACTGAAGATGATATTGTTCATTTTCATTATCATTGCTTGATTAGTACCAATCAGGAAAAGGATGCAGGTGATAGCATGATCATTTCAAAACATCTTAGCTTTTGTCAATCCCAAATAAAAAGGCAACCCTGGAGTTTAAACATGCAGCGTCAGAGTTGTCAAACTAAAAAGGGGTCTATAGCGTATGTATCTGTTTTAAGGGCAAGAAAACAGAGGACGGCTGCGTAAACGTAGCACCAGTGATGCGTTTTAAAAGCAAAACGTGGAAGTGGCCTCGTGTCGAAGCAGTGTCAGGGACTCGCACCTCTGTTCTTCTTAGAGTCCCGATGGTCTTTCTCCTTGTCCTGTTTCTCAGTTCCAGGAGACTCAGGCATGTCCTCCTCAATGGCTTCATCTGACTCCCAGGCCTGGACAGGATGAGACACACGAATGTACTGTTTCAGAGACTTCACAGAGACTGAGCTCTGGTCGCACCAGGTAGGAACACAACATCTGTATTAAATCATGGGGACATCGTAGACTGTAGCTGAGTGTTTTCAGGTGTTTCTCCAATCAAGTTATTTTTTAATTCTCAGTTGAGCCAAAGAAATGAAACTGAATATAACTCTAATAACTCTATCACAAGATTTTGATAAAGTCAACATGCAAGTGAAAATAAAGAAGTGTCCCCTCACATGTGTGTTGATGGTCTCTGTTAGGGCCCGGAACCAGTCATTGATCACGCTGTCGATCTCGGACTGGATCAGCAGCTCTGTCCCCTGACGGGTCTTCAGCTGGGAGAGGACAAGTCAGCATTACCCCAGATGGTCACTCTAAACAGTAAAGGTTGATCTAAACGTGACAGCAAGTACCTCAATGACATGTTTCTTGCTGGACTTGTCTTTGGACGCCCAGTCCACAGACCCTCCTCGCAAATCCACGGTAAACTCCGGCTTGGATTGGTTGCTGCCAAACTTCTGGAATCAAGGCAAAACAGTATGAGGGACCATGTGTAACACAGATATCATTTAACAAAGGCACGTTTTCAGGCAGACTTTCAGGAATCTAGACAACATGTTCACGTTAAACACAAGTAATCAGTTTCATTTCAAAATGTTTCAGTCTTTTTAAAAGCACAGACTCTGAATCTACTGCAACAAACTCATGTTTACTTATCTAAAAAGTTAGAAGTTGTTATTGTCACACACATAAATCAACAGGTTAGATTATTATAAGACTTTTAAACATAAAATTGAAGCCATTCAATGACTAAAATTCTGTGTTTTTGCCGGAATAATATCATGTGATGCAAATCGGTTAAAAAAATATGAATGGTCAGCATTTGTTTGTTATTATGCAGGTTTACACAAAAAGTACAGAACCTGGTGGAAGGATGCGATATGGATCAGGAGAGAACCCAGAAAATGTTGGTACGGATCTTTTTTCATTTTATTTAAATTTGCAATATAAGGGTGTTAGACAAGTGGAGATGTTCACTGTCTGAGTACCCTGCTAGTTGCTTAATGTCATCAAAAGTGCAACTGACTGCAGGAGTGAACTCTGACTTCAGATCAGCCTCAAAACTGAATTTTAGAAAAATCTAAATTGGCATGTTTTGCAACACACAACACAGAGAGAAGTGTGCCGGTGGCCTGGGTGATGAAAATACTGACCATGGAGCACACTGTTCACAGTTTGAGTTTGGATCTTGGTAAATGTCATTTCCCATCTTTCTCACCGTGATATCCCTCTCATACCATCTCTCTAATAAAGGCATCAAACACAGAGACCTCGTTATTTATTTCATTATCAAATTCTCCCTAACAAGCCTCTGGGGGCTGGACTGTTGTCTGTGTTGTTTCACAGACTTTAGAGACACTCAGCTGGTTGTTGGGTCTGTGAGTAGTGAGAGAACGTGTCTGCAGAACTGTAAGATTGTCTAGCTTCTGTCTGAGTCTAATAATAAACTAGTTCATTAACAAACGGAACTCCTCGTCTATGAATCACAACATCATCATCAGTTTCTACATCCTGCAGATAGATTGAGTTCACCTCAATGTCCTACTTTCACTCTGCTATGGTTTCTACCGAATCAAGAGGATAATATCTGGCCCTTTAGCTGCTTAATGCTTTACTGTGTTCACCAGCTAGGGTCTAATCGCGTCTCTTTGCTATTTGGTGCTGGGGGGGGAAGTGAACAGTGGGTTTATCACATCTGCTTTGAAACTGCAAGTAGCTGCGTGGTGTGGAAACATTGAGCTGAAAGACGCTGGGGTGGAGGGATAGAGCTGAGGGGAACAGCGGAGCCCAGAGATGAATCAGAACCTTTTTTTAGATTACACAGTCATTTTAAATATTGATTAGTGCAGCTAAATCAAGCTTCACACACAAACATCAGTGTTTCAGTCAGTCAGAGCAGGCTTGAGTGAAAGAATGAGAAACAGGCAGGAGCAGCAACACATGCAGAGAGACAGAGAGGACATACAGCGGCAGCCTGCACAGGCCTACAGTTCACATAGGAGACAGCAGGACGGGGCTTGACTGAGCGCTTCCAGTTGCTAAGGAGAGTGAGGAGCAGCTCTGGGATGGAGCCACTGCGGTAGTAAGACTTCAGAGAGGAGGAGAGGAGAGGGAGACGGTGGAAGAGGAGGAAGATAAGGGAGAGGACGAGAGGACAGCACAAAAAGAGAGGAGAGGAGAGTAAAGGAGAAGGAGGAGATATGAGAGAAAAAAATCAGAGGATGACAAACTTGACAGCACAGTGGGCAATGACAACAGGTGACCATGTAGAAATAAGGAAGAGAGAAATAACAGAGATGAAACTTTCTCTCGGGGGCTGATGGGATACCTACCCAGCTCGTGCTGCCCCCCTGACCCTTGGCAAAGAGCAGAGAGTGACCCTGCAGCACTGTCCATGATGACGTCCAGTTTTTCCTGTTGGTCACAATAAAAAATAAAAAAAACTGTCAATATGAGTCTTACATTTTAGAAAAGACTAAAGTTTATCGGGTCTTTTAAAAAGATTAAATCTCTACCTGACTTTCTTTCCATTTTCTGTGATTTTGGTGACATTGAGGACGCCACACTTCTCTGAGGGCTGAGGAGGAAGACACATGTGGATAAGAACCTGCTGGAACACATGCACTAAAACACAACAACACACACGCTGAAGCTTGAGAAGCAAATGGGCAGGTTGGACGCTGCGCAGCTTGAAGTTATGTCCTAATATCCCCAGCAGAGGGCACTGTACAACTGCAGCATGTGAGCCGGTTCAAATATCACGGTGCACCTAAAGTCCAGTGACAGGTGATATAGTTTTATCTCGAACGGACAGATAAATAACTGCAGCACACAATTTACTAAATATTAATATGCGTCTATAACGTCTCCAAGATGGAGAGAACTCAGCTAATCACATTGTATTTTCACCTTGAAATGTCATATATATTATTTATCATGTGGGAACAAGTCATCCTGCTCGCACAAGATAAATATCACCTCTCGAGACTTTTAAGTGTAGATTTTTCCGTTGTCTTGGATGTGATGCAGTTAGCTGTGGAATGTAGCATGCAGTCAATGACAGAAACCAAATGAAAAGGTGAAGAAGACGAGGGATGAGAGCTGCTGTATTTGGATGCAGGTGGAAGCCGGGTGATGAAGATGGGTGCAGTGCAGTGCAAGCTGGGATACTAACGGTTGAGGGGTGTTTAGGAGATGAGGGGCAGGAGTCAGAATCTGGAGAGCTCTGCTTGGGCACCGGAGCACACTCCTACCGATAAGAGGCACAACATGATGAGTTCCTAATAGCAGCTGACTACAGGTAACATGGAGACGGTCAGTGTGATGGTGATGAGGAGAGAGGATCAAGAGTCTACAGTGGAATCACAGGGTTGAGCTCGGTGTTAGTTCAGGTAAGTAAAACATTAAGATTGAGGTTAAGGCAGGTTAAGATTTCAGATGTCAACAACATGCTTTAGAGCTTCTGAGGAAAACGTGTTGATTCAGAGAAGGAGCTTCACTCAAGATGCAGATTTCTCTCTGTTTATCTGCAGCTTTAAGTACAATCGATACATGGATTTGATCCTTTCCTGATGATTTCGCTTACAAAGAATATCTAACGCAGAGTTTTACTGGACATGCTGACATTGAATCAAAATCATCTGCTGATTGGAGGAGAGAGGGCAGATGCGACTTTGATACCAACTTTATCTCTGTAAAGAGAGAGACGGAATCTCCTCTTCTCAGAAGAGAAATGCCAGAGTTTGAATGAGAGCTGCAACAAAACCACCACAGAGTCAACCTCCGATACCTCTTAATACCTTTGTTTGAGTCATTTCTACCGTTCTATTACTCTAACATAGTGCTGTTCAGTATCGTGCTGTGATGGATAACTTGCAAAAACAATCAAAACAATTGCACAATTTATTAATTAGCTTGTGTCAAAGGCACAGAAGCAGAAAGACAAGTTTGCAAAAAGTGTTTTTGACCTGACACACTGCGTATTCTTTTTCTGATAATGTCTTTTTGTGACCCCGTCAGCATAATAAGATAATCACAATAAGGGCGGAGCACTTTGTGGATGTTGTAAATGGTTTACCTTACGATGAACTGGCAGGAAGTAGCAAACTTAAATTACAGTTACAAAATGTATTTTCACCAACTTTCACCAAATAACACACAAAACAACCTGATTGTCTTTTGTCAAGACATTTAAAGATTTTCCTTTGTTGAGCTTGAAATGTAATTAGACCTCAGGGATTAAACTCACTGTAAATACGACAGGTAACATAAATAAAACCCAGAAAGCTTGTCAGACCAATGATTAAAAAGTCTGTGTGACCACGTGATTATTTGATAATCGGGGTCTTCACAGTGTCCTACCTTGTCGTTGAGGTCTAACACATAGGTGCTGTGTCTCCACTTGGTGAGGACGATGGGCTCCTGCTGCTTCCTCTCCAGACTGCGACTCTTGGGAACCTCGCTGGACTGAGGGGAGACGTTGTACTGCAGAGACAGAGAGGAGAGTCTAAAGCTGAGCGGTCATTCTAACAGACTCCAAAACGTCCGTTCTCTCCTCATACCTCTCCTTTTACCGTCCACAGCACCATCGGGCACAAACTTCTCTCACAAACCCTGCATAGTCCTCTCAAGTCACCAGTGAGGTTCAATGGACGTATCCATGTTCATGCCACTGTCTGTTCACTCTGAGAACGGAGCGATCTATTCTCATCGGATCTAAAGCCTCCAGATTACAGAGGGAGTGAGCCGGTAATAGTTTGTCACCCAGAGTTCAGCACATACTTGGCTCCTGTGTGAGCTCCTCAGACTCTCATCCATTTACATTAACAGGACTACATTAACAGGTTTGGAGGGGGAGGGGGTAGTGGCGGCGTTGGGTGAAGCCCTGACAGGTAGAATTCATATGATCTCTTACCTTGGGCAGCTCCCACTCTGACCTGGATCCATCAGCGCTGTAGTAGTAAGGTCGGCCTTGTTCATCCACATGTTTTATCCACTGTCAACATAAACACCAGTCAGCAAACAAAAGCAAAAAAAGAAATCATATTTGACGTGATGTCTGAAGAAGTAGAGGACAACTCTCTGAGGTACAATCAGAAACATGCTGCACCTTCTCCTGCGTGTATTCGGACACGTAGAGTGTGTGTCCGTGTTCGTCCAGCTCCTCAGACCAGCCTCTAGGGGGCGACCCGTACTGGCTGTCGGACTGACTGGAGTGGGTGCTGTGACAGTTTTCTTCTGAGGACAGCAGCTGCGGAGGACGAACAGAGACAGAGGGCTTAGTGGTAACAGTTTTAAATGAAACATTACAAAACCAAAACTGCACAAGAAGAAATAAACCAGAGAGATGAGATTCATCCACATTACACCTTCATTTGTAGTAAGTAAATGCTGTACTGTACTATTCCAAATTTTATTTAACTTCTTCTATGCATTGTGTTATAATGTATTTTATAGTCTAACCTATAATATTTTCTGTTTCTATTCATTGATATTTTCGTGGTCAGTACATATTTCTATTCTTGGCCCTGGCGACTGTAACAAAACCACATTTCCCCATAACTACATGCGTCACCATAACCCTGACCCTAAACTCAACCTAATTCTAACACTAACAGTAAATCTTAACATTCAAACAGCCTGTTGATAGTGGGTCAGCCAAAATGTCCTCACACACATGCTATCTACATTAGGCTTTGCATTGACTTCCATTCAGTGTGGACAGTTTAACCATTATCCTGAACCTTAACTGGGACCTCAGAAACAACATTCTGCCTCATTAGGACCGGGCCACGGTCCCTGTGAGGCCTACTGGTGTGATGTAACACAATGAGTATACGCACGCACACACAGAAAAGAACTGCCATTGCACATCAATACAAGAAATACAAGCCGGGTTAAAATACTTCTGATGTTACAGTGCCAATACTAGTAAAATGGGGTATTGCTCTTTTTTAATAGCAGGGTATTGCAATGATTTTCCAGTATGGTTATGTGGTGCAATATTAACACACAGATTAAATGATTGTAAAACTGTTCTGTGTCTGTCTGGTTTCATTTAATTACAAATTCAAATTTAATTATATTCACATTGATGTGACGATTCATTTTCTTTTGACCGACTCGTAAATTCAGCAGTGATTATAATCCAATAATACCAGAGAGATATAATTAGCCGTCCTTAATCTCTCTCCCATGATACTGCAACAAACAAATCACCACACGGAGGCAGTGTTATATAGTGAGACAGGAGCTATCAGGAAACCATGACTTCCTATGAAATCAGCTATTGTTGTCCTTCCTAGAGTAGCAACAACACTCTGAGATCCACCACAGCCTGTTTATTGAACCCACACTGCCACACAGTCCATTTACTGACTGTTTCTGTCCGTTTGAACACAGGATTCAACTCAGCTTTTCCTCACATTCAAATGAAATACCTGAATCCAGGGTTCCAGCAGGTGATCACACCTACTTGGTTTAAACATCCCTCACCTCATTCTCCACCATGCCCTGGCTGTCCCCTCGGATACTGCTGGTGCTGCCGCTGGTGTCCCTGGTGCGCGGGGGCTTCCAGGTCCGCTCCCCAGTGGCTCGGTTGTAGTAGAAATGCCTGCCGCTCAGATCCTTGTGGGTCTCCCAGTCGCCCAGGATGTGGAGGGGTGAGCCAGAGGGGATGGGCGGCAGGCTGGACTGCGAGATCTTCAGCTCCTGGAGGTTGGTGTAGACCGGAGAGTCAGACCGGCCCTGACCTGTAGGTGAAGTTGTCTGGAGGAGGAAGAGAAGAAGGAAGAGGTGGTCAGATGTGATTGACAACTCTACTCTGGATTACATTTTTTTTCCTGAACATTTTACTGTTTCCCGCTTTTCAGTTGTCACTCCTGACTTCTCCAGAAACTAAATGAATGATAATTTATAGATATTCCAGGAATTCCATAATAATGAGCCCTGAAAACATTCTTGACTCCGCTGAGACGCCCAGTTCGGCACATCCTGGATTGAACCATGGAATGTAGCAGGCTGAGCTGTTTGTTGCAGCAAAGTTAAAATAACACACATTCAGCTAGAAAGACCCAGATCTGATGCACATTATCCCAACATCTACTGGGTATGAAGGTGATGCAGTGAGTTATGAGCATCTCTGACAGTTTGCATGGAGAGAATGAAGTTTCTGATCCAACCAGATGTGGTTAGCAGACACCTCTAAACTGCAGCAGTTTAATTTTATTGAGGTGCTTAGACCAGATGGAACATAGTTGCATAATCTGCTATGAACAGAAAGGGTATTTATTTATACAAGACATGAAAACTTGATTTAGCAAGGGCTAAACAAGAAGAGGAAATGGAAAGATACCATAGTGATCGTTTGTATTACTGTATGTACAGTATACAACTTATTTTTAGTTTGAATTATTTTCCATGGCTCGATAAGAAATACACCCTTAAGACACATTCCATTGGTTTTTCATATGACCCTATCAGCCACATTTCATTAATATCTGTGGTGAGCAGCCAAAAAGTGTGATCATTTGACACAGAATGACCCCGATGTGTTGAACTGGTTTCTATGAACACAGCAAGACATCCTGGAGATGAGCATACTTGGTGATTAAGATCTTACAACAGTTGTAAATAAGGTTAAATTCATCCTCAGATTTTTTTGTTGAAAGGTCAGATTCCTAAAAATGTTCTTACTTCAAGGTAAGGTTGGGATCAAAACTGTGCATCCACAAATTACGTGTAGTAAAGCTATTTCTGATAATGCTTCTGAGCTGGGACCTGGTCTTTTCTAACATTTGGGTAGAGACAAACAGTGACAAGACAGATTCAACATTTGTTCAAGAACATTTTGAAAGGAAACAATGACTGATGTTATCACTTTTTTCTGAGAACAAGAGATTGACTGGTTAAATAAGATATGAATGCAGGAAAAACTGCACATGATGTACAGCAAATGCAAGTTATACATTTCTGATTTTCATGAGTTCCACTGACATTGTCAGTGATTCTTATTATGTTCTTTTCAAAGCCTTATGAAAAAGAAATGCATTTGAGGTTTGAGTATAAACGTCATCGTAGATAACTATAAATAAAAAGCAAATACAACACAGAACCTGAATTGAGAAAATGGACACAAACATAAATGCACATGTTTTCTGCAATGTATATTATGCAAAACTCAAGTTTGCATTTCAGCAAACATAAACATGGATACCAGTATGACTGATATATTGGTCAGACTCCATTTCTAATATAATTGATTTACTGCAATTACTACTATTATTGACAGCAACCGCAGTCAATAACCAGACGCTGCTTGAGTTAATTAAGCTGTTAGACTCAGCACCATCTTTTACAACACGTTTCTACCAGAGAGCATGTCCTGGTTTTCTCTGAGACATAAGATTATTTCATGTTTTGAATTATTTAACTGTTCATTTCATCAATTTGTTGTTTTGCTAATTATGAATGACTTTGTAACAATGTATAGACAAGTGTTAAATAAAAAGTATCGTGATTAATCATCTTTAATGACAAATGTGGTCCCACGGTGCTGACGCACACATGGTTCAATCAGTCTTTTTAAGTCTTTGAAAACTTGGCAGCATCTGAAGGTCACTGCACAAAAGCCAGAAGGCTATGTTTCCATGGCTACAGCTCAGAGCGTTTAAGGCAGCCCTGAATGCTTCTGTAAAATATTTTGGGTTTTGGAACAGTGCTGCGTCTCTGAGCCTGATGCCAGCTTTGTCTCTCTCTAGAAAAAGATCCAGCAGCAAAACGTTCTGTAAGAGACAGAGCAGATAAAAGTCCAAACAGAAAAGAATTAGACATCAGAGACCGTGCCGGCACCAGACCCCTCCCTCTGTTTGTTACAGGTGAGGAATGTGGGGGGAGGCGTGCTTCAGTCAGAGGGTTTGGACCATGTTCAGGACACAGATGGGACTTCCTGCCGCTCTTGGAATAACAAGAGTATTTTTCACATAAATTATTATTTAATATCCTGCGCACAGAGAAAAGGTTTCAGAGGCGTCCTGCTGTTTTCAGTTAGATTTACCCGCTGCTTCTCTGTTTCAGTCCAACACATATAATGCTCGAGCATGGAGGCAAACCACTGAGAGATGATGGTTTGGCTGAACTCAGGTTCAGGTTTATCAGTTCCAACCAGGATGGAGGCAGCATGCTGCAGTTTTAATTGGGTTTTTAGGGAATAACGTGGTGATAATGAAGATGAGTGAGAGTGGTCTGAGAGTGAGACTGGGGTCAAACAGATTCAAAACCAAACTGCATCCGGTGGAGCGATAATTAACAAGCTTTAATGTCCTCTCTGACAGAGACGGAACCAAAACATTCTCCTGCTGTCTCCACTTTCCTTCAGTCATTTAACACTGATTTTAGACAGAGACGAGTGTGTACACTGACTGTTACTGTGCACAAGAACAGGTCCACAATCATTTCACTGCTTATTGTTACTGCTGCCTGTGTAACATGATTATGAATCTATTTGTACTTTGATGGTGCTGCACAGGGGACTGCACGAGACAGATTTAAGAAAGATTAGTCAAAACTGAAGCAGCAGAGGTTGATGCATCTTCAATTTTTTGAGCCCAGAAAGACACAGTTTCTATATTAACACACATTATCAAACTGAAAAATATGCCAGTGTCAGTGACCGACCAAGTATATTGCACCAATTTACAAACTCAGATAGCAATCTGTAGTGTGAATCCCTCCGCCAAGGCCCAACAGCACCATTTCAATTCACTAGATCAAGATCCAAACCAAACTGCACACACTCAGTCCCATAAACATGTCATTTTTTCATCAAGATCCCCAAATTGCTCTCTCTCAAAAATAATGCATCCCTCCACCAAGTTTCGTTGTAATCCGTCCAGTTGTTTTTTTTATAAGCAAGATTACGCAAAATCTAACTAACAAATGAACAGGGCTGAGAACATAAAGTATCCTGCTTGGCAAATGAAATGAGTTGGGCTCTTCCCCTGTGCAGTATCTTTACAATATAAAGAAAATAAAGAATAAAATGCTATTTAAAAACACGCAAAAACTCTCAGAATAGAAGTGATGCAAAAATGAACTGCCTTGTACAATGTGTGAAGTCTAAACACATGCCTGGAATAGCAAAGCCACTTTTCTAAATGTGTCACTGAACCCTACATCAAGTGTTTTACTGGCACACTGCAGACACATTGTACCTGCAGCTTTCAGAGCAGGCAAAGTTTAGTTAGGACCTCAACAATGCTACCTGGATTCCAATTTAACAGTTTTAAGGGAACAAAACTGGCTCGAACAGTTACAGGACATGAAATCCATCTGTGTTGGCAAAGCAGACACCCTGTTCTATAACAATCTAAGCGTGGACACAGTGCAAAGATACCTGACACGGTAAAAATAACACTTTCATCACTTCTTTTGTAGAAAAACAAAGTAAAATCCACCTATTTTCACGTCCATTCTAACAATCTAATTTCAGCTCGCTATCTGTCGTGTCACCTTCTTTCCGTGGCTGCACACAAACACCTCGTCGTCATCCTCTCTGGCTCTCTGGTGACCTCTGAATATACTGAATGCACGATGCATGGCGATGCACCGCGGCCATCAAGTGTGATGGGATGCACACAGGCTTTACCTCCAAAACACACACGCACACACTCAAACAGACACACTCCGTTTTTCCTCTCTGCTCGTCTATGTGTCCAGTTGAAGGCAGGAGGTAATTTGAGACCGAGGCAAAGGGGAACAGGATCTTTCTGCCTCACAAACACACAAACACGTCTGACACAACAGGAAGCAGTAGAGAAAAAGTCACAGCTTCCTCTATCGGAGGATGTTTGAGTCAAACTGTGCACTGACAGACGGACAGTGGCAGTTCACACTTTTTCACCACAGGCCAGGCTCTATATTTAACCTGATTGGGACAATGTGACTGTGTGTGTCGGGGAAAGATAATATCCCTGACCAGTGCTGTGTGACGGCCTCGTCCTGCACTCCTCTTTCACCTGAACAAATGAGGAGATGACCAACAGAGTGATAGCAAGGATTCTCATTTTTAAGGGCAAGGGAAGACATCGAGACAGAGCATCATGAAGAAAAAGCAAGGAGACGAGGAAGGGATGTAGAACAAAATAAAGAAGAACTAAAAAGTAAAAGTTGCATACCGGCAGTTATATATTTGAGATTGTCTACTTCAGTTTTCACTCAGGCTTTGTTGATGTTGTAATCCTCCTCATACTTGGAATGGACTATTTTTTTTGGTTATGTGGTTTATCACTATGAAGTGTTATTGTCATTTGTAAACATTGGTGTTTTTTTCTAGGCCAATTTAAAAAATAATGTAATCTTTTATTTTTGCACAGAATTGTATTTCAGTAAGTGAAGGCTTTCAGGAGTCAGACGAGGGGGTGTGGAGAACAACAAAGTCTGAATAAAAGCAGGTTGTGCTGGATGAATTAGTCTAACACATGACTTGTGCTCAAGAGACACGGACATCACCAGATGTGTTGTGGGGTCTCTCTACCTCTGGTCTTCAGCGAGTTTTAGATCGACGGGCTGCTTTTACATTTAGGCTCGTTGTCCTGTAGAACGACTACATGTTTTATCATGACTGATGCATTTGGCTGAATCTGAGCACAGACTCCTGTATATCTCTGCTTTCATCCTGCTGCTTCTGTCAAATCATCAACAACCATAACAGAACCTCCAGCATGTTTGACAGATAACGGCTTTGTGTCATGAGCTCTTCCTTTTTCTTT